CTTTGCAGGGACGTGGGCTCAGCTCGGGCACAGGCAGCAGCCACGCTGGCCACAGTGGCAACGGGAGGCCGGGCTTAAGAAGGCTCCGAGCACCGGTAGCAGGGCCCCGGGCAAGGCACCAGCACCATGTTCAGCCGCTCGGGATACCAGGCTCTTCCCCTGGGAGACTTTGACCGCTTCCAGCAGTCCAGCATCGGGCTCTCTGGGGCTCAGAAGGGCTTCTTCTCCTTCGGATTCAAGGAAGACCCGCTGGGGGCGGCTGGGAGTACCGCAGGTGAGTCCCAGATTTAGAAAGGCGTCGCTGCCTTTTCCTCTTATTGCCACTTTTGCTGCAGGGTGTCACGCTGGCCGGGTGCTCCCTGTGCTGCCGGCTTCCCTGGGGTGCAGGGTGCATGGAGGGAGAGCCTTGGATGGGGGTTCACGGGGAGGGCAGTGAGGTTTGGAGCAGGTACATCCTCCTTTCGCTCCCCTGCAGACTCCTCCCAGGGTTGGCTGTCCTGGATCTGCCATGGGATTATCACCTTCTTGGTCTTCTTGCTGATGGTGCTCACCTTCCCCATCTCAGGATGGTTCGCCTTGAAGGTAAGGGAGGAAAGCAGGCAAGGAGTGGGATGACAACCCATCCTCCATGGGGAGGACCGTTCCTGGCTGTCCCTGGTCCCCACAACTCCTCCTGGCACTGCAGGAGCCAGGGTTTTGCTTCTGTCTCCATCTAAACCTCCCCGTTCCAGGTTGTTCCCACCTATGAGCGAATGATCATCTTCCGCCTGGGCCGCATCCGGGCGCCGCAGGGACCTGGTGTGGTCCTGCTGCTGCCCTTCATCGACCACTGGCAGCGAGTGGATCTGAGGACGAGGGCCTTCAATGTGCCCCCTTGCAAGGTGAGCTGCCTTGGGCCCCAGGGCAGGATGGAGAGACATCTCTAAAATACCCAGAGCAGGTGGATTTGGGCATGGTCTGACCCTCGGTGCCATGTAGGGACCCAACTTTCAGTTCCTCCATCATCACGGGAAGGTGAGGGGGTGGGTTGTAGCTGGTGCTGTGAAGCCAGAATCTTCACCTGCCTGCAGCTGAAAAACTCTTCTGGACTTTGTACGCCTTGCTCAATGGGTGTTTCTGGCTGAAGGCATCTCAAAACCATCAATCCCTATCCTTTCCAGGTGTCTTTCTGTAACAGCCCTGTGCTGGAAACTGTCCTCACCATTCAGACAAGTCCAAACTTAATTATTTGGGTTGGATTTGTTTCTAATAACCCTCTTACTAAAGAGATCTAGAGCTGGTTGCCTGCTGGGAAAGAAGTGAATGCCTCTGCACACAAGGGTTGGGCCATGGGGCAGAGAGGGGGAGAGGTCCTGACTCCCCTCTGCCCCAGCTGACCTCCAAGGATGGGGCGGTCATCTCCATGGGTGCCGACGTCCAATTCCGAGTGTGGGACCCTGTGTTGTCCGTCATGATGGTGAAGGACCTCCTTGCAGCCACCCGGATGATGGCGCAGAACGCCATGACCAAGACCTTGGTGAAGAAGAGCCTCCATGAGATCCAGGTGGAGAAGCTGAGGATCGGGGAGCAGCTGCTGGTGAGGACTGCCCCAGCCCTGTGCAGAGCCTCCCAAGCACGCCAAACCCTTGGGCTCTTGGTGTGGAACTAACAGTAAGGGAAAGATGGGGCTGCTGAAAGTCCATCTGGCCATGGACTTGGCCAAGGAAGGGAGGTGGGGAAATGTGTTGATTAGTGGGGAGCAGATACTTTGAGCTTCTGGATCTCTGAAGCTCTGTGGCTTATCTGTAAGGGCTTGGGCCACCCAGGAAAGCTCTGGTGTTGGCAGGCTTAAATTTGACTTCTGTATCTCTACCAGGAAAACGTCTGGAGGGGGCTGCAAACTGGAAAGGCCTTTTGAGGAAAGAAGCAGGACAGGGCAGTGGTGGAAGGGTGATAAGTGGTGCTCACAACTGACCTAGGCCAGGCCAAGATCTTGTTGAATATCTACAAGGGATGATGTAAAGGGGGGCTGGGGGAATATCCCAGTGTCTTTGGGGTATCTGAGTTGGTTTGGAGGCCAGATGGTGCCTAGTGAAGCACTGTACCAGGACATGTTGCCCAGGGGGGAGCAAGGAAAGGGGCCAGCCTGGGAAGGAGCCATAGAAAGAGGAACAAGACAGAGCTCTGTCCTCCCTGTCCCAGCCTCCTCATAGCTGGGAGGGCAACTGGGGGAGCAGGGTTGAATGTGAGGCTGGACAGCTTGGAGCAGGTGGGCTCTCAACAGAGCCTGGTCCAACACACCACCTCTAAAGCTGATGGGCAGCAGAAGTGCAAGCTGTGGGATGCCCATGGTTGGGGGTGCTATGGTGGGCAGTCTCCATGGCCATACCCAGCTCTCCCTTTCTCCCCGGCTCTGCAGCTGGAGATGAATGACATGGTCAAGTCCTGGGGCCTGGAGGTGGACCGGGTGGAGCTGAGCATGGAGGCTGTGCTGCAGCCACCCCGAGAGAACGTGGTGGGGCCTCTGGACGCTGTGCCACTCGTGCCCGGGCTGGAGGGGCTGGATGGCACCATTCAGCAGCTGGCTGCTCGTTTCTTCAGCAACACACTGGCTCTGGCAGGCAGTGGGACCGGTGCTCCAGAGGCAGGTAACCAACCCAGGGCCACTGCTTCTCTGCTGGGGCTTGTCCCTCCTGCCCAATGACCTTTGTGTCCATTGGCTGTTTGACAGAGGAGTCAAAGTCTGGGAGATACCACGCTCCTGTGAGCACAGCACAGATAGACTGGTGGTAGGGAGGAGAGAGGACTGCTTTGGGCACAGCTCTGTACAATGTGTCTAACAAGATGTTGGGAGGTGGGACTGGGGAGGGCAGAAGCAGATCTGCAGGAGCCCAGGCTCAACACTAGCTCAGCACTTCCATCCGGCAAACCCAAGGCGTAGCTTGCTGAGAGTCACATCTGAGGACAACGCATTTTTTTTCCAGAAACCCTGCACCAGTTTGTGCCCCACTATTCCTTTCAGGGATAATTTCCCACCCCCTGGTAGCAGGGGAAGAGTAACCCCTGGTAGATAGAGGAGCAGGTGGTAAGAACTCCAGAAGCAGTTGCCCTTTTGTTTTGCTTAGATGGAAACTTGCTGGATAAAGGTCCCTTTACTCTGGGGACCTTTTCTGGTGGGTCCATGTAGACCAGCAAAGCTCACCACTCAAATGTGTCTCCTTGTTCTGCCAATGACCAGGCTCAACAAGAATGATACAGCCAGCAGAAAGAGAAACCAATACACAGATTGTATTGTAATCAGAAACATCGTGACTTGAATGACCGCTGGGGGTACAAATAGATCAATCAGCTGTTACATAAACGACACCACCCCCAACGATCCCACAAAGGACGTAACTCGTCTCACAACAGGTGGTACAAACAGTGAACCGAGGTTTCCCATAGTTGGCATGGGAAACAGCCAGACCAGCCAGTTAAATACATAAGAAAAAGGTGCCCACATGGCAACTCTCACCCGATCGACCCGTGTTCACAAAGGTCTAAACAGACCGGGGCCCAGCTCCAGGGAGTGTCAGGTGGTCTTCCCTGAACCAGGAAGCTCTGCAGAGTGCACTCCACAGACACTCCTGACTCCCCGCCAGTGGTCCCAGCTTTTATCCCCAAGCCGACAC